CATAAATGCCACGGATCTGAACATCACCGCCGTCAGCAGAGGTCACATACTTTTGGGTCAAATGAACGGCGAATATAGTAAGGGTTAGAAAGTTATGTAATTTAACATTAATTAGCGGTAATCACCAAATACTCTGAATATCCCCTCAGTTTACCACACTTTACAACCAGATACTGACCGACACTGTAGTTCTTGATAGCACTTCCAGTCTTAACAATTTGTCCCAGAGCCTAATCAATAAGTGAAATATTTTAATCATAATAAAGATATAGTTATGAAAATTGTGGTCAAATGTGAATCATTACTTCAATGCCTAAGGGATAGGGCGGATCCGAGTGTTTGAAATAGCGTCCGGCAGTGATGTTCAGATCCGTGGCATTTATGCCCACAAAGAGATTCTTCACAAGTATTTCATCACTTTTGGGATCCACTAAAGGCAGCGAAACTATTTTAGTCGCCTCACCGGTTGGTCGAGTAGTTGAACACTTGGATCTGTTTGTAGTGACTGTTGGCAGACATTCTTCGTATGGCGTATGCGTTGACACAAACTTTGGGAAGTTTTGCGGTTTTGTTGTTAATTACAGACAAATATGTTATGAGTTTTCTGTCAAACATTGACTTAACATAAGCTCAAGAGTTGCGTTCAATTTATATACGAAATGAGGTTTAGTTTGAAAACAGAGTTCATTTCGTGATAACAAATATCGTATGAATTTAATTCAATTCAATTAAAGTGTTTTAATCAAAACATTGAATGCGAGTCGACGAACTACAAAATGTCCTGGATATTATCGGTCCGGCTAACTATTATTAAGCCAATTCCCACACAGTGAATGACAATCAAAAAGTTTTGGTATATTAATAGTTATTATGCTCGTTCTCGTCTATACCGTAGTAGTTGTCCTCAATTAGTACTCAAGAGTTAAAAAATACTTACCCTGGACTTCACAATACTGTATTTCATCAGTATATTGTAATCTAGTACAGTTATCTCGAAATATTAATTATTTCATTTATATAACTCTACATGTGAGCCATGAATTAACAAATTAACTCCTGTTCTCGTGGTTTATGTTATTCACGACAAGCGTTATGTAGTCGAAGATGTCGTCCGATTTGGTCCCATAAATGATGTACGGCTTGAGGACATCCATGACTTCTTTGAGTTCATTGCACTCCGGAATGAAATACAAGTGTTTGAACGCCAACTGAAACGAAGGTTTCGACTTATTCTTGAGCACCAGTTGGCGGAACAGCTTCTGTGTCTCGAGTGGCCACAAGTGGATCAACGGTAGTGTCAGCGCCGATATCGTCAACAACTGACAGCTCAGGAACGAGTCGTCGCTCAGCTCTATGAACGACATGAGCACCTGTATGTTGAGTCCCATAATCGCTTTCATTGAATGAAACTTTTGCGATAAAATCAATTTTATGGTCGAAAAGAGTTTCACTTTATATGTGTTCACGTAATGGCCGCCCATTAGGTCCAGAAGTGCCTTTAGACTCTTGACGGCATTGAGTCGCTCACGAGTGGACGAACACTGGTTATGCATCACCGCTTCAAACGTGTGGATATAGCCTAAGAAGTACTCATCCAATACTTGTCTCAACTTTGGTTTGTTATCGAAGTATATCTTCAGATCATAATTAGTCTCCTTTT